CTTGTCCAGGGCCAAGTTTACGGTCACGCTGTCACCACCTGAGGACTGTCTGCCGTTCGCACAACTTGAGAATAAAGTGCAGCCGTCGAGGCCTACCAAGTGTAGAATTCCTGCGTTCAGGAAATGCTCCTCGCGCAGGGAAACCCAGAAAGCCAGGATGCGAAGGACAAATGAGCTACGACAGCGCCCCACAGCGCTGACTACAGTGATCCTTGGCGCCAAATTGAAGAAGAGGCTTTCCGAGAGCTTTTTCGCCTTGGTGCAGGAGCTGCTTGCTGCTTGGGAACATGAAGGTCGCATGACATCAAGCTCTTGGGTCAAGACCCTCGGACTCAAATATTCGAATGGCCTCCTCCAACTCGCCATCCTGGCTCAACCCATCTCAACCCTACAGTCGCCATACGTCGCCATGGGCACGTTGCTTGCAGATGCACATGCACTTGCAGCTATAATTACCAGCATCAGCATGCGGCAGATGTGCAAGCCATCTCAGGTAGCAAGGCACTTCGAAAGCTCGTCACCTACCTGGTGGGGTCTTCCTGGGAGTGGTTTCGGGGCCTTGGCAGCAAACTCCGCATACTTGAGGTTGCACCTGGACTCGAATGGAAGTGCGCCCACCAGCTACGTAGGTTTAACCTACTCAGAACTGTACTTCCAACCCAATCATACTCACAAGTCTCCTAAATATAGGGTCCTGTTAATTGGGCTATAGCCACAGTTATAACCAGGTTGAAATGATAACCTGGAAGCTCCAAGAAATCCTAAACCCAAAGCCTTACACCCTAAATCCTCAACTCGGAGGAGACCGTAGGATCACTCCTCAACTGGGCAATCTGGCCACATCATCCAAAAATCGGAACCTCAAATTAAGCAAATGTGGAATAATTTCTCTACAAATGAGTTACCAAAAACAAAAAGGTGAGGTCGGGTGCAGTCGTCATAATTTGCTCAGGGCAAGACTTTTCCTGAACCTCCAAATAACCCCACAACACGAGAGCTCTGGATGCTGCGCCCGCACTGCAAAACAGTTATACAGGGGCTCAAAGGGGCTATGTAGGGGTATACGGGAAGTATGGGAAAATGCAATGGACACTATTACCTTACATCGGGTTCAGGATTTAGGATAATCCCCTCCCCAAATATAGCATCGTTAAATATATATATATATTATATAATACCATGAGGACCATGTTGGTAATCGTTGCGGCCGGGGGGGTGGGGGGGTGGAGTGGATTGGGGTTGGGGAGGGTGGGGGTGATTACTAGGGAGAGGTGCAGGAAAACACCAACACAGCAGCGACTTCGGCCCAGGCTTGGAGAAGTTCGACTCGGAATGGTCCGCAAGCTCAAACATCTCGGCAGCGCGCTTGTAGAAGGCCTCTCCATGGGCAGCCACGATTGCACTGAAGTAGAAGTTGGTCTTCAATCCCTACGATTGTAGTCTTTGCGCCTTGCATTCCTTGTGCTGCAGTCGCTCCGCCTTTCTTGGGCTAAAGCCATGTAATCCGGCCAAAAAAAGCATTTCTGCATCTCTCTGCTGCTGTGCGACCAGCCTCGTACAGCTCGGCGACGGAGAGGAGTAACTTGCCAGCCTACCATGAACGGCTTGGGGGGGAGACGGGAACACTGTACAGACTGGCCATCACCAAAAGACCTGCTGGAATCGGCCACCGGCGCTATAAATGCTCACGGCCTGTCAGGCTGCAGGCAATGCTAGATGGAAAGGATGGTATCCTTCATCTGGCAGTTGCCTGCTCCAGCTGCTCAACAGCTAGCTGCGTGGAGACTTTTTTCAAGACCTCGAGGCCGTCCAGAACATGAGTGGCGCCGCAAACAGTGCACCAAGGCTCCCACGTTACCGGCTTCTGACAGGTAGTTGGCCTGTGGAATAAGGATTGACATACACATTCACTTGCATCAGCATTAGACCAGAAAGCTGCACTTTGTTTGCGCCTGATCGGACGTTGAGCCCGACTTTTCTGCACAGAAGGCACACTGAACGAAGCAGTTGCCTGCCTGGCGCAGCAGACAAGCGAGGCCACTCTTCTCTAAATCTGTGTTCATGGCCCTTGGCGCCACTGATACTCCTGCACCTCTTGCCACATCTTGGCCATCTTGTACTGGTTTGCTGCTTGCTGATAGATCTCAATAGCCTGCAAAAGCAGCGCATCTCTGAGTTACAAGTGGAAGAAGACTGCCTCGTCGTACTTGGGACCACCGGAGATATAGCCCCAAAGACCGCCGCCTTACGCATCTGCACTCTTGGGTCTGCTTGCACCAAAGCACAGCATCACCCATTGAGCTTAGCCAGGCACCACCTTTCATCTTCTGCTCTGCTTTTTTCACCAGCCTCACGCAAAGTAAGGACTGGGTTCTGCACTGCTCTTTGCTGCCGCCGACGCTCACGCACACGCAAGGCAAGCTCGTTTCTTTGTGGCATTGGGGTCCGTACTCTTCGGCGGCTGAAGCCGACATGACCTAGGAAAACACATCCGGGTGACCGTTGCTCGCCCTGCCATATGAAAGAACCTCTGAGCCTCTCACTAGAACCGGTGACAAGGTAAGGCAGCGTTCAAAAGCTTTTTGCAATGCTCAATTTTGTTGTGAAGCACCCTGAATTTCTCCGCGGGGTAGCGAGACAAATTGCCAGCCGCTTGCAGGTAAACAGGCTTCAAACAAAAGTAATGCACATGCAATCCATGCGTCTTGGCTCCTTTGCAAGAGCCGACAGAGCAACGCAGAGCTAGGAAATAGCATCCGCACACACTGCATTGAGGAGGGTGGTTTGGCAGAAAGCTGATAGCATACAGCAAAATGAGCTAAAGAAGCCACCAAATGAGGGAGTTCTTTGGCTCTCGCAGTCTGGGCATGATGACACCGTCTGCATTGCAATTTCTGTCCATGATTTCTGTCCATGCATCACGGGCACAAGGGGCTGCGGCACTCCCAGTAACTCAGTAAGGGTCCGCCTGAACTGTATGGAGGCTTAAATTGCAAGATCTCACATTTCTGGCATACATAAACACCCGGCGATCTTAAAAAACTCCTTCCTTCGCTGCTTTTCTTTTGCTCGAGGGCTCGCTTTGCTGGTTCGGCTTCTTTTCGGCTTCGAGGCTTTACGCACACCTGTCACAGCGCATCATCAAGTCCATCCACTTCATTTCGCTAGCAACCCCACAGCATCACTATTCTGATGAACGTGTCGAGGATCAGCCCTTGAAGTCTGCATCTCATGCTTCCGTTGGCTCAAGGTTTGGTGCTGGACACTTCCATTAGGGAAGGCACCCATGTTGCAACCATAAGAAGAGTCTCAGGGCCATGTGCTGAATAGCGAAAAGGTTCCTGCATGCTAACTCCTGGCCGGACACTCACATGACGACATGAGTCACGTTCAAAGCCCTGGTGAAACACCCTGTGCCCAAATCTACATGGAAGCAAAACGGTATCCACTTCACGATCTCCCAGCCAGCCCCCTCTTGCTACAACCTCTTTTCACGACTAACTCTAGGAACCTCCCACAACACCCTGATCCACAGGATGGCCGGATGACCGTCGCCTCCAGCTCGCTGCAACTTCTGCCTAGGAGGCATTGAGCGTGAGTGTTGCCGGATGCAAGCATGGAAAAAATGTGGCCTGTCGAGATTCCTGCGTCCTCTGAGAGCCGAGACCCTGATTTTTGCATGCTTCCATGCAATGCGGGTGAAGAATAGCATGCCAGCAGGCAACCAGCGTTTAAACTCAAGCAGAACACACGTTGTTTGGAAACACTCAGGAAAATCTTGAGTATTTGGCCAGTTGTCTGGCCCTGTTGTCCTTAGACCCCTATATAACCACAGCTTCTGTTTTCTTGTTCGTTTGATTCTTGATTACGAAAATCTAGCCCTGAACCATACTCCCAATGAGTAATAATGACACCATACATAATCCCCAACAAAATGATCATGCTGTTCTTTTCCACGTATAGTCCCCCTTTAGCAGATAGAATATGGGGTATATGGGGATCTTATTATAATATACCCAAAGCCATTTCTATCTACTTACGGGGACCATAACCCCTGGGCCTATGTCTGTTCATATCTCCTGCTTCAGGCAAGAGCTCGGCTGGGCTTCCCTGGGACCAGGGGGGTTAGGTTTAGAATGGTTTAGAGTTTAGGGTTGCTACGATTGGGAAACGCCAGTGGTATCCAAAACAATGCGGTGCGTACTTTGGCTGAAGTTCCGTAACAGCTATCCAATTTTCAGGGCGCTCTCCACGTTCGGGAGGTCCAGATAATCAACCAGGAAAGCGAGGAGCCCTCAGTTTCAATAAATGCTTCTATCCAACAGCAATTGCTTTCAGTGGAAGATGCCTAACACAAGGAGCCCAAGCAAAAGCGTAACGGAGGAACATCAGAACAACCCTTGCAACCTCACGGCGTTCCTTCCCACGACTTCTGAGCACGTTTCAGTCTGAGCTCGGCACAGCACCAGGAAAAACCGATCCACACGCTTGCCCTTGGCCCACAGAGTGTCGAAGTAAGAGCTCGCCTTGACCTTATCATTCAAAAGCAGGCAGGAAGCACAGAACGAACTGTATGCTACTGTACCCGCCCTATGTGACTCCCGAGCGTATCCCTCCCCAGCCCTGCGGCGGTGGTACGGCCTGCTGGGATGCAACCATACATCACTTCTCCTTAAGTTGGAAGATCTCAATGCTTCCCTCGCGGATGCCCTAAGTGATACGCCCTACCCGGCAACCCTCTGTATCCGTAAGGGCAGCAATAGTTTTTGACTAGTCGAGCACACAGCAGAACCGCAGCAACCAGAAAGACCTTGAGCACAATACCGCCCGAATGCGCGGCTGAGTGTCAAGCAGCATGTCCACAGGATGCAGTTGGCCAACCGTGGTACAAGTCGACCTTTCAGTAGCTCTCATGCTGTCCGCAGCGGCGTTTGAGCACGGCATTCCAAGCTTAAGCCGTGCACTCCGTCCACTGTCTCATGCTCTGGACGCTCCCCATTTACCCACAGCTGCTTTGGAGGGGCCTGGGATCCGGCAAGGGGACAAAGCTTGTGGAAGCGGTGAAGCTCGAGTAATACGGCGACTTGTGTCAAAGCCCTAAACTGTCATAGAGCAAGCAATGGCTAACCCCGCNNAACCCATTCTGAAAGCACACCCGAAATCTACATCATGAATTCTACTCAACTTTACCATAAACTTTATCCACCTACCAATTGCTTTGAGTTATTGATTCTTGAGAATAACTTAAACCAATCTAACTATCCCTAGTC